GAATGGTATGTGCCGTACACGAGATTATGGAAACGCGGAGGTTGGGCGGAAGTTTTATAACGATTTGGCAAAGTTGGTGCGGAGGTTTCGCGAGGATTGTATGGGATTTGTTAGTGGGAGGAGGGTGGAGGCGGGGGAGCTGGAGACGTGAGTTATTTTTCTTTCTTTCTCCCCTTCCCCTTGGTTATTCTTTCTCCTTTCTCTAGGTGGCCTTATGCTGCGGATCGGGGTTGGATATGTTGCTAACACAAAGGGCATGACATAGGGACATTACGAATACCAGTGCGATGGCTTCGCTCAGCATATCGCAGAATCAAAAGCAGGAACAGGAACAAAATCCATTCCCGCCACCTCCCGCGTCTACAATTTTATCGCCAACAGCCGTAGCGGCAGCGAATGCAGCCATCCACCACCACCACCAGCAGCAACACCAACACCAACCATTCCACGGCCGTCAGCATCATCATCCCCCGCGCCAAAAATCCCCCCTGAAATCCACCCGCTCACCTACATCCGGCCATACCCCTTTCACCCCATCAACCACCACATCCTCATCGCCAGTAGCAGCCTCCGCCGCCGCCGCCGCTGCAACGACAGCAACAACAGCAACAACAACGTCACAACCTCAACCTCAACCTCAACCCCGACCACCAACCAAAGAAAGCCCCCTCACCGCCCCACAACCAACCCGCGCCTCCATAATCCCACCACCAATCACCATGCCCCTCCCCACTATGCCCACAGGAGGCATGTGGTCGCCGGAGATGGGGATTAAGTTTGGATCTTCCGCACCCGCACCGGCACCGGCTTCACAGATACCGATGAATGGGCCGGACCAAGCCGAGCAGCAGACGCAGGCTCAGGCTCAGGCTCAGATGGTGTCTCCGATGCCAATGCCGATGTCGACGTGGGACCCGAGTCGGGGGGTTAGGTTTTCGTAGGGGTCTATGTTCCATTACTATTATTTGGGTGGTTGGTTCTTTGCCCTTTTTTTTTTTTTTCTTTTTGCGTTTCGTTTTGCGGAGTTAGGATGGATGGGACTGCATTGTTGAGGAAGAGAAACGGTGCGTGTGTGTGTGCTTTCTTGCTATCTTAGAGGAGAGGTGGGTTGGAATTTTAGCGGGTTTGAGGGTTGATTATGTCGATATATATATAACTATATCTATTTTGTATCTGGAAGTTCGGCGTAGTAAATAGACATGGTGTAGATAAGATAGATATCTAAGATAATCTTCCTTCACTGCAAGCGACACAGGTCTTTTCTCTCCCCGTTTTCTTTTCTTTCTTTTTTTTTTTTCCTTTCCCCGCCCCCCCTCCATAAAACCATGAATACAAAACAAAATTGAGTCTCATTTTAAACTGTGCAAGGTATCTAAGCAAGTTTTGAACGAAGCTGCTGTTGATATAACTAACCCACGGGTATCTGAGTTGCTTATACTCCGTACAGAGTGCAGTTAACCCTCTGTTTCTCTCTCTCCATGCACACTCTGTTCTCTTTCCTGATTCGTCCAGCCTGTTTGCAAATCAAATGAAAGGAGAAGGAACTGGTGAATATTTAAATTAAAAAAAAATAAAAGTAATGGAAGCTATTTCTCATTTCCAAGAAAGGATCCGACAAAAAGGGGAATGAAAAAGAAAGAAGCAAAAAACGAGAAACCTGTAAAGCTAATTAATTAATCAAAAAAGACAAAAATAAATAAATAGAAGAGAAGAGAAATAAAAGAGAAATATAAAAATGACAAATAAAATTAAAAATTAAAAAGCAAGCCAATATCCCTCCCTTTCTTAGTGAGATAAGTAGGTAAATGTGTGTGTGTGTATGTATATGTATCAGTAGAGAGATAAGTATATGAACAGTGTGACATATGAGTAAAAACAATGAAATATGAAAATATAGATCAAGAATAAACAAGAACAGGAGTATAGAAGAGCTGGTTTAGATCAGACAAGACCCCTCTCATAATCCATCGTCCATCAACCATACATCTCTACATATATGTATATAGATAGATAGAGATATGAAGGAAGGACAGGAGGAGGGGAGGATGAATAACACACCAAAAAACCACCCCAAGAGCAAAAATGAACAAAAATGTAATAACAACATTGATAAAGCCTCCCACTTTGCACTCCCTTCCACCCGAACCTCATTGCGCTAAACATGAAGAGACATGACACGTTAGAAAGGGCGCTGGTAAATTATCAGTTAGTCAGTAGACGGTTGACGGAAAGCGTCTGGTTTCCGTCTGATTCTCATGGTAATCCAGACTGGTGACGGCAAAAAACTTTTAGACATTTCCCCTCTTTCCCCTCTTTTTCTTTCTTTTTTAGCTTGGTACTTTTCTTTTTTCATGTGCGCCGCTCTTCCTCAGGTCTTCTCGACGCCAATTACGATAACGACAATCGGAATTTTGCTGTCCATCACGCCGCCTCCGTGCTGGTGCGGTATTTGTAGAGCATGCCCGCGATGTCACCGTCAGCAAGGGCGCCGCCGTTTTTTTCAGTGATGAGATTCTTCAGCCACCGGTTCTCCATCTCCAGCTGGGTGATGCGGGCTTCCAGTGTGGCGTTCTTGGCCGTAACGTCCTTGACGGTGCGTTCCATGTTCTTTTCACGCTCCTTTTTCTTGATGCGGAAGCGGGCGCTGGCAGCTGTGTTGCGGCGTCGCTTATCTTCTTCCTGTGCGAGGCGCGCGGCTTCATCGATGCTTTGGGTTCCGGGGACAACGACATCCTGTTTCCGCTTGGTGCCTTGGTTCGCTGGTGCTGGTGCTGTGGTCGTCGGTGAAGATATCGCGCTGGAAGGGGACGGGCCGGGGATGCCCTGAACGGCATCAAACGCTTGACGTCGCTGGGGGTTAGAGG